GCCCCCAAACTACCCCCTGTTCCCAGATCATCTGGGCCTGGATGGATTTTGGCAGATCCACACACCCCGGAAATAGGAGGTAAGACCAGCTGCCCAGCCAGCCTCCTGACAGGGTCCAGGGAAGGGGCACTGGGTCTCACGGCACCCCTCCAGAAAGACCCAGGGAACAACAGGCTGCTGCTCCTAGAGGGCAGAAAGAAGGGCCCACCCACCTGACCCACTCAGCCAGTGGGGAGCCGGCTGCTGCAGGTGGCACCGCTCCCTGCTGGGCAGCAGGCAGTGGGCAGGGGCCCAGGAAGCTGCCCGTGGCTTGCTGGACCCAGTAGGAAATGCAGTCGGGCATGTTTTCCTTCTGGGATTTAATCAGCTCTGGTGGTGTGCAGTCAACACCCAAACTGGGGCACAAGCAGGAGCTCTGGAACCTCCTGGCGAGAGCCAGAACCAGCTGCACAGGCTCCTAGCTGAGCATGGTGGCCTGCCCCTCCCCAGTGTGGTCCTTGGAGCAGGTCTGGCCCCAACCAGAGAGTGGCAGGCCACTGAGCAAGGCAGGCTGTCTATCACTGTTCTGAGGGTCAGACCTGGCCCCACAGGTGGCCTTGGCCCAGGGCCAGGGCCCAGGGTAGGAAGAAAACACACTGCCCCAGCCTGGATCAGACCTCCAAGAAGCAGGACCGACCACAGCGTCCCTGGAAAGCACTGGAATCTGGGGCCTTGCCAGAAACAAAGAGAAGCCAGGCCTGTGCCATCCTTCCTGGGAGGAACTGCCCTACCCTCTGGGACAGATCAGACAGGAAGTGGCTCCAAAGGCCCCCAGCAAGGGCCGGAGGCAGAGGACAGTTGATGTGGCCATCGCTGGCTGCTTGATGTCCCCTGGGCCCACAGCCCACACCTGGAGGGAGACCCCAGTTCCCTACCAAAGACTCTCCATAAACTTGTGCCGAAATTTCCAGCTGGGGCTACTGGCGTTCACCAGGGGACCCAGCATCCGCCACTGCGAAGACGTCCTTCCTGGCAGCACTGGCCATGGAGAAAGAAAGGCTCAGGCCACTGAGATGAAGGCTGCGGGGAGGGGGAGGACTCACAGGTGCTCCTTCCGCTTCAGGTCGAACCACCCCAAACGCTGGCTGAGATTTCAAACTCATTTCGATAAGAGCGTCAAGAGCAGTGGCCTGGTGTGGCAGGCGCGGGGCGGTGCCCGCGGAGGCCGGCGGCTCCTGCCTGGGCCTGGCCCTGTTTCTAGACACTCTCCTTGGCCAGGAGACCACTGGCCCCAGGGTAAGACACACCTGCGCTGAGCAGGGACAGAAGAGTGGCTTTGCTCTTCCTGTTGGAAAGGAGGGTCAGGCCCGTGGGGCGGCCAGGGCCTGGTGCCGCCCCAGGTGGATGCTTCACCTGAGGGGGTCTCACAGGCACCTCTGCACTGCCCCACGCCCCCTCCCTCTTCTCTGCAAGCAGACAGCGCCAGCATGGGCTTTGGGAGGGGGCAGGGCGGGGGTGTGAGGACCCCGAGGACAGCCAGTCCGCCCACTGTTCAGGACGGACAAGCGCACAGCTCTGAGGAGAGCTTCTGTTTTTATTTTAAAACAAATTACGAGACCCACCACACCGCACAGCAAAACCGGAGGGGTGGGAGGGGACTCTCCTTCCCTGCCCTGTCCACTGGCCGTCCTCATCAGCAGACATGTACTTCCGCAAAAGGAAAAAGGTCAACACTTGGGGACACAAATTTGGTAGCCCCTTCCCCCAACTCAGAACGCCCCCTTTTCCCACCCAAGAGGTCCCGGGACACGGGCTGCAGATGGTCACCCCAGGAGCTGAGATTTTCATGGGCGACTACCTGCTCTGGGCCTGGCCTGGGGCCTCCCTGCAGGAGGGTCAGGCCCGCGCAAGCCCCTGGGATGCTCCCGGCCTGGCCTCCTCTTTAGGTGTCTCGAAAGCCAAAGGAGGGCCCCTGTCCTTCCCAAAAATGTCCCTGTCCAAGGGAGTCCCACAAGTCACCCAGTGCTAGGGAGACCCCAGAGTCGGAGGGGAGCCTGTTGGGGGGTCAGGACAGCTGGCCCGTGGCCTCCAGGCGCTGGGCTAGTCTGTTCCTAACGGCGCTTTATAAAAAGACGTTGTAATTGAGTTTAATAATCTACTCCCTTCCAGAGAGGGCCTGACAGGCGCTGCCTGCTGCTCACTTCTGCCCCATTCCAAATATTTTTACCTTATTTGGATGAAATGCATTATTTTTCTAATGAAAGGCTTTTTTCCGCAGGGCCGTCCGCCCTGGTCCAGCAACAGCCTTTATTAGGCAGCACTTGTGCGTTTTGGGGAGGGGTTTTCCTCTCCCTGAAGTCATGCCAGACTCTCTGTCCTCAAGAGCAGAACTCGGCGCTCAGGACCTGAGGGGCAAAGGCCTGGGGCCCCAGGTTTTCAGCCCTTCTCCTCCCTGCTTCAGCTGGGGACTTTCCGTCCTGCTGTGCTGACCCCTGGGCTAGGAGTAGGTGCCCTGAGGTGGCCCTGCCGCCCCCACCTCGGGAACGGTGAAGCCCAGGACCCCTCTTTCAGGGCCCAGGTCTTGAGGGGGAGGGATCGCGAGGTCCTGGTGGTGGCCAGCGCCTCCCCTGCCTCGACCCTCCCCTGGACACCCGCTCTCTGGTCTCACTAGGAGGGACCCCGGAAGTTCAACAACTATGACAAATGGTGGCCAAACCCAAGGGGGCCCTGTCTTCTCAGCAGCCATGTCCCCCTCACCATGGAGGGTCAGCAGCACAGCAGCCAGAGGGGGAAGGCCTGGCACCAGCTGCCCCGGCGGGGCCACGCCCTGCCCTCTGCTGGAGCAGCCAAGGTCCGTCGGCCGGGCCACCAAGGCTGGGATTCCTTGGGTCCCTGAGAACACAGGGTCCCCTCGCCGGCAGGCGGTCACCCCAGAGCTGAGATTCTCAGGGATGCAAGGAGGCAGGGGACGAAGCAAGAGGACAAGTGCAGGGATGGCTCTCACCAGGCTTTGCAGGTCCCTAAGGGTCACATGGCTGGGGAAACAGACCTGAGGAGTGTCACCTGAGGTGATGAGGACAGAGGACAAGCCTGCCCTCCCGGGGCCAGACAGGCAGGGCCACTTGCTGCCTCGGTGGGCCCCGCAGCAGGGCTGTGACCTCTCTCTCCTGGAATAAAACTGCCCTGAGGCCAAGTCCCTCAGTCTGGCCAGGGACTGGGAGGCCACTGGAAGAGCTTGCACCCCGCTGTGGCCACCTGCAGTGGTGGCCAGGGCCTGTGCCATTTCTGGGCTGTGTCCACAGGAGGCCCAGACAGGGCAGTGCCAGTAGTCCCAGGCCCGGCCCAGGCGGACTTGAGGAGCGCCGAGCGGCCCTTGGCAGGAGCTGCTGGCTCAGGTTCGCGCTCCATGCTCTGTGAAGGTTAGAGGGAGGCAGGGAGGGCGCGGAGACGAGGCAGAGGACACCCGCTCCTGGGAAGGCGCGTCCATTTAAGGAAGAAGCTCACCACGCTCACACCAGGTCTGCACCCAGCCAAGGAGGCCCTGCGGCTCCCAGGACGTCGCCCCTGCGGCTCCCAGGACGTCGCCCCTGCGGCCTGCACAGGAAGGACTCCTGCAGTTCCGGGTGAGCAGCCCTGGGGAAGGCCCCGGGGTCGGGGGGCAGAGGCTGCCCAGGCCCCTCGCCCTCCCCACGTCCCTCAGGCCCTTCTTGGGGCTCAGCTGGGGTGCTTCCGAGTAGTCCTCAGGGGCACGAAGGGCCCTCAGCAGACAGGGAGCCACAGGCAGGAGTTAAATAGTGGCAACTCGTATTTATTACAATTATATACAATCATATCTTATATCCTGAAATCTATACATGATCACACAAATGAACATGTTCCTTGGTGGGAAGGACAGACATGGCTGTTGGTCAGGAAGGCTCTGCCGCCTGGCCCTGCCGTGGAGCGAAAATCACGTCTCCCCACGGGATCAGCTGAACCACGACACAGCCGGCGAGGACGGTCTGAAGCGCAGTGTGATTTCATTTGTTGGAGATTATGCCAGGGCGTGAGGGCTGGGGTGGGGACAGGTGCCCACCTGTCAGGCAGGGCCCAGCTGTGGGGAGGCTGGCCGTGGCAGGCTGTTGCTGAGGGGGAATGGGTCCAGGGCTCTGGCTTCTGGAAACAGCTCGAAGAGTGAGCCATGGGCCAGGCCTAGAGGACAGAGCAGGGACAGCAGAGACCAAGGGGACTGTGGCTCCTCCCCACCGGGAGAAGGCAGGTAACCACACGAGCTCTTGCCATGCACGGTGTCAGCTCAGTCCGGCCAGCACCCCGAGGAGACACTTCCGGGGGCTGGGGCTCCGAGGCTTGGTGTCCTCGGCCTGGCTGTGAGGAAGGCAAAGCCACCTGCTTGGGCTGGGCTGAGTGGGGTGTGGGCTGGGCCTGGGATGCTGCTCAGGTGAAACGCAGATGTGGACAGAAACGTGAGCCTCACGCTCTGCAGCCAAGCACACCTCTGCCCAGACCTTGGCTTGAGGCCATCCCTGCCCAGAGCCAGAGCCCAGAGCCCAGAGCCCACAGCTGGACGGTGTCCCTGGGAGAGGCCCTAGTCCCGTTCATTCTCGTTGCTGGCACCCTCGGGCCGCCGCAGCTTCTCCACCTGCTCGTTGATCTGCCCGTCCCCACCTCTGCGGTCCTCCCTCTGCACTCCCAGGACGTCCTCCTCATCCACGTGGCTCACATCGTCGTCCTCCTCGTCCTCCTCATCCTCCTTGTCCTCCCTCTTCTCCTCCTCGCCCTGCACCTCCATCCTCACCTGGCCCTTCACGTCCACCACACCCTCGCCTTCCTCCGGGGGGCCTAGCAGGTGGTAGGTGGCCGTGGAGCCCTCAGGACTGTGGCTCTCCTTCCCAGGCGAGGGGGACGTGGACTCGTTGCTGACTGGCGAGATGTCACTGCTGCTGTGGTGGTTCACGGCTGCAGGGCTGGAGGGTGACGGCGATTTGACTGGAATCTGCCAGGAGGGGATCTTCGGGGCTGACGGGGATGGCGGGAACTGTCTCCTGGCAGGGGAGAGCAGGGGGCCAGGCCAAGGTTGGTGACCCCAGCTGGGCTCCCCATCACAGCCCCTCCTTCACTGACCCCCGAGAGCCATGATGGGAACAGTGCCCCCAGGGATACCCAGCAGGGGACCAGAGAACAAACCTCTTGGCCCAACGGAGGCTGCATCAGCTAAGAAGGGTGCCAGAGCCCCACAGGATGCCCGGCCGCACTGGGGGCTCTGGGGCCTCCCCTGCCTAGAGTGAGGCTGTCGAGCTCCTGACCCAGCATTGCCCTGCCTCCACCCCAGGGGCAGCAAAGGAAGGAAGCCGGGCTTCAAGGGCTCGGATCAGGGCTCGGGACACACGGACCTCAACACTAACTTGTCTATGGCCTGGGCAGAAGGTGGCCACTGGCCGAGGCTCAGACATCAGCATTAAGAGGTAACTTGGTGCATGTTGGTAGAAAGCCTCTGAGCCCAAGCGACAGGGAACAGACAGGTTTCCCTTTCTGCTTCCAAGTTCCCTTCTAGGCCCTGGGCCAGCAGCCAGCCCAGACTAAAGCCCATTCCAGGGGGGACCCGGGAGGCCAGGCCTGCTTGGCAACTGCTTGGAAGTGAAGTTCTGTGACTTGCAGACCCATCCCTGTATGGACCCAGGGGACAAAGCCCGGTTCCCACTCTGGGCAGCCAGCACTAGCTGCAGAAACAGCCTCCACCTCAGGGGACGCACACCCCAGCCTTCACTAGCCTCAGCGGCACAAAGCCAGCGAGGAACTCCACCTGCTCAGAGTTCCCCAACTGCCTGGTCTCTCCACCACCAAGGTCAGGAAAGATCTCTTCTACTAATCACCCTCGGCCCCGGGCCCCGGCCCCTCACCTGTTCTGAGGACATGTTCTCTTCCTCAGGGAGCACAGGGCGGGCGTGTTTGAAAATGAGGTCTCTGGCTACCCAATCCCTACACCCTCCATCCCTGATCCCTATGAAGGTCCCACACTGGGCGCCACTGAGCCCCAAGTCCAGCGGAGGAAGGACAGCATCCAGATAAGGGCTGCCAGGGTGCCGCTCGTGTGGGATGACCACGCTTCCTGGTTTCCCAGGACAAAGAGGCTCCTGGGACACTGGACTTCCAGCTTTAAGATCAGGTCAGGCCTGGGCAAACCAGGAAAAGCTGGTCACCTTACCATCAGGGCTGCCCTGTGGAGGGACAGCAGAGGGATACCAGGGAAGGTGGAGGGAGGCGAGGACTGTTCTGCTCGTGGAGAGCTCCTCGAACTAAGCGGCCCTCACTGGGACTTCCTCTGGGCAAAGCTGTCACTGAGGTTGTCTGGGCTCAGGAAGGGGGAGGGGTAGCCTGCCTCTAGGAGCCCCTGCTTCAGGAGGAACCGAGCGGGAATGCCCACTGCTCCTCGCCTGAGAGGTCCAGAGAGCCGCTGCTATTTCAAAACCTTTGTGGGTGCCGCCGCCGACGGTCAGCCTGGAGGGAGAAGGGCTCTGGGGAGGGAAGCAGAAGCTCCCAGGTCTCCGCACTCAGTGCCAGAATCCCACAGCTCAGTCAGAAGCTGCCTGGGGAGCCCTGGGGGAGCCCTGGGGGAGCCCTGAGCTCCCCACCGCTCGAGGCCAGCCCAGGAGCTCTCTCCTGCTTGCTGTCCCAAGCAGGGACCTAGATAAGGTGGAACCCGAGCCTTCTCTCCTACCGGTTTAAAAGAAGCCCTTTTAAGGAGTTAATTTCCGACTTGAGTTCGTTGATATTCTGGGACTCCAGGATCCAGTTGGTGGATGTGGTGGCCTGAAAGTCAAAACACAGGAGATGCAGGTCAGAGTGGCACCCCCACGCCACCCGAGTGGGCAAGGTGTGGCTTAGGAGCACCCTGAAGGCAACAGCAGCTGGCACATTTTATCTGGCCACAGCCTGGCGATCCTGCGTGAAGGGCCTGGCACTGCCAGAGGCGACTCCCTTCAAACCCACACTCCCTGAGCTCTGGGTGTCTAAGGGCACAGGACCTGCAGCACCGAGGTACTGTGGGTTTGTAAAGTGACGTGATGCGTGAGCTCTCATCTTTCAGGGAGACTCACTGTGGTATCTGAAAGGAGGGGTGACACCTGGAGGACGGGCAGGGTCTGCTGGAGTGAGCAATGCCCTCCCTTCTGTGTTTGAAATGCTCATTAAAACAAAAGAACAATAAAAACTAAACCCCACTCCTTCCAAAAGAAATGCCCCCTCAGCAAGGGGCTGAGCCGGGGTGGCCTCAAAACTGGTGTTCCTGAGCCTGGAAGCCACACTGGGCATCAGAGAGGCTGGGGCACCTCAACCCCTGCGGGCCACTCCTGCAGCCTGGAGGACAGGCTTCACCACATGCTGGGCTGCTTGGGGCTGCTGGGGACCTCCTGCTCCTGCTAGGTGAGGTCTGGTCTCTAGAGGGTCCTGGGGGCCAGAGGACATCCCAGGACTGCTCCTCCCTGTCTGCAAAGCCACCTGCAGGTCATGCTACCCAATCACATCCCTTCTTTGGGATGACTCTGGTTGCAGAGCAGAAAAGAGAACAGCCCTGGGCTCTGAGCTGCCCTTTCCCCAGAGGGCCAGGACAGAACCTCCTTCACACAGGGCTGCTGCACATGGCTTTTGGCAAATCCTGTCAGGACAGATGGACAAGAGGGGAGCCAATCCCACCACCCCGCATGGGAACTTCGGGTGGCCAAGCCGCCGGGGTGAGTGTGGTGGGTATATAGTGGTCCACCCCGGCCAGGAGGCCTCAGCTCAAGTGCCTGCCTCCCTGAGCTGGAGGCTGCCTCCAGATGGGGTGAGCCTGGCTCTTTCCCCAATGCACAGTGGCGACTGCAGGCCCACCAGCTGAGGCCGCCCAGGGGAAGGAAACCTGCAGTCCGGGAGAATGCGGGCCCATGTCTGCCACCCTCACACACAACCCTGCAGGGTCCCCACTCCAGATCAGCAGATGATGAGGGCACAGAAGCCGCTGATGAGCTCCTCCGCGCCCTGGAAGCTACAGCAGCCCATCAAGCAGGAGCCACTACCACTCCGGGCCGCACAGGACTCGGATTACCAAACACATGTGCTGCCAGACGCCAGGATTCAGAAATAAAATCTGACATCTGGGGCTTTTTAGCCAATCTCTTTAAAAAACAGTTGTCGAAAACTCGCAGCCTTCAGTTTTATGTAGGTTTTTTTAATTACTTAAAGCTCTTCTTTTTAATTTTTTACAGTGCTCCAGTAGGAGTTTGGAAGCCAGATATAAAAACTTACATCACAGCTGAGAAAACACAGCTCTGAGTCTTTGGTTTATGGGGTAACCAAAGTCCTCCCATGTGTTTAGATGCCAGGCTGGAGAACCCCACTTCATCACCAAGAGGGGGCCAGAAGCCTGGAGTGGGAGGGGCTTGAGAAGAGCAAGCGGAGGAGTTCTATGGGGCCACCTCAGCCACCAGGACAAGCCCACCCCACCCGCCTTCAAGTCCAACACGTGGTCTTAATCTTAATATTTAAGGTCTGGAAGCAATTTCCCAGTTTCCAGAGTGGCTGCTGGCCACTGACAGGCCACTGATCCAAAAGATAACCAAGTGGGGTGAAGGCTGCTGCCACAGGGACCCACAGGGGCTGCAGCCACCTGAGGAGGGGATGAGGCAACACCTGTGTGTGGGAGAGACATGGGGAGGGGGTTCTTGAGTCTTTAAAAGAGGCACCTCAGACTCTATCAGAAGCAGGAAGTGATCCACTTTCCTGGTTTTGCAATCTAGTGCATTGAAGGTGTCTTCCCTGAGCAGAACAGGCAGGGTGAAATCCTTTAGAGGACATTATGGAGCCACCGGACCACTGTCTCCTGGGCCCTGTCTGCCTAAGTCATGATGATGCTATCATACACTCATGAAAACCAAGGCCTGCAACCCTGAGACCTGACCGCAGTCAGGCAACGTTCTAAGCACATCCACAATCCAGCAAAGCAGGAACCATTACAGCTCCATCGTATACATGAGGAAGACTCAGAGAAGTTAAGTAACTTGCCTGTGGTCCCACAGCTAGCAAGTAGGAAAGTGAGGATTCTAACCCAGCAGAGGGATCCCTCAGTCTGATACTGCCTAGACTGCTGCAGATTTGGGCAATAAGGCACGGAAAACTTCCTCAGTCGATCCTGGGTGGTTCCCATTCCACTGGGATCACCCAAGCCCACGTACTTGAGGCAAGGTTAGCCCATGCGCCTGGGGCGGCCACAGGGGTTGCTGGGAAACTGCACACTTCTCCCTTCTGTCCCCTTATATTCTCCCTGTGACTTACAGCCCAACTACAGGCACCTACGATGACGGCGTCCAGAGCTGTGGGGGTGTGGCTGTCATCAGAGGTCACAGGGAAAAGGGCAGCTTTCTTCCCTCCTCCTGTTGGGAGGTGACCGGAAGGGTGGCCTTAATGGGTAATTGCCATCCAAGTGTATGGTGATGCCTCCCTTTTCCACAGGAAAGGTTAGACAGCAGATGGCAGGTGAAGGACATTCAGACCTTGGAAGACAACTTTCAGACCTGGGGCACAAGGACCAGGGCGAAGAGCTGGACAGGACAGACCGGGCCTGGGGGAACCAGGGCCCAGAGGTAAGTACCTTGGCGGTGGCGAGCTCATGGGCCAGCTCCTGGACCTTCTGCTGCTGCTGCCTCAGCAGCTCCTGGACAGAGGCCAGTGTCGTCTGTACCTGAGTCACTGGGGAAGAGAGTGTGGCGTCTGGTGAGTTAGTGCCCACAGACTCCCTCCTCAGTCCCCATGCCTGTGGGCAGCCCCTATTCCTGCTTCGGTTCATTTATCTGCAGGCCCTGCCCCCTCACCTCCGATGACTCATCTGCGCCCTGGTAGCCCACCTGCGCTGGACCTGCCCTCCGGATTTCCACTCTGTCTCTCTACTGTGTGCTTGTCCGTGGTCAACAGCACACCGGTCCAGCCTCTCCCTCTAAGCACGCCCGGCTGCGCTGTCCTGGCTCTCCCGGCCCCGCTCACTGCCTCACGCATCTCATGGGCCTAGCCGTGTCCTTGGGAGCTCAGGGCGTGTCTGGCCTGGGAAGGCCGAGGCTCAGGCTTCCGCCACATCCAGGAGGAGTGCAACTGCGGACCCTGTCTCCAGTGCGCCTTCCTATCCTACTCCCACCCTGAGGCTGTCTGCCTAGACCCCACTGTCACATGGCCCCTGGGACCAGTATCACCGCGTCACCCTCCGAGGAGCAAATGCCAGTGTGACAGATAAGTGCTACCGACTTCTGAGGATTTCACGAAGGTGCCCCTGAGGGACATGGGCTGCCCGGACAGGAGGCTCCCGCCTGCCTCGGGGTTTGAGATGCAGAGCTCCACCTGGTAAACAAGCTTATAACGGAGCAGAGCCACCTCTGGCGCGACAGGTCCCAGCTAATCTGGGCCATCGCTGGGGCAGCGGGTAATGAACGCCAGCCCTGTGGAGTCGATAACAGAGGAGGTGGCCGGGGTCCCAGGAGCCACAGTAATTACAGACTCTCCCGACCCTGCCTTGGACTCTTAGAGGGAAGGGGGGAAATCACTGAAAACCCCCCTGAAAACCTCATAGAAGCAGAAATTAAAAATGAACTTTACAGCCCTTAGAAAGGCTGTCATTTTATTCCCCTTATTAATATTCTGAGGTTGGGAGCCTTTCCGTAAAAACATAATTAATTGAGGCCGCGCCGACAGTAAACAAGCAATTTCAAATTAAACCGAAATGACGGCGGCTTCATTTGCAAATGTGAACAGATTCTCAGAGCAGATAAATGAAGTCACCACATAAAGTGGAGACGGAGGGAGAGGGGAGGGGCCGAGAAGGGGCTGCGTGGAGAAGGCTTTGAGGGGTGACTTGATGGAGTCATTAATCTTTACCTGTCTGGGCCACGCTGCCACTCAGCTCAGAGAGACTCGCCGCCATCCTCTCCAGCTGCTTCCTGTCCTCGCGGCCGCCCAGGATGAGGGGCAGCAGGTACTTCTGCAAGAAGCAGAGGGGCGGGAGCGGTGTGCACACAGGTACCTGATATCCGTCTCTCAGATCCCGACACCCAACTTTCCCTCGTCCTCCCCAGGTTTGGGGAACCCTGGCACATGCGTAAGCGAACAAAATACTTGAAAAAGTTACAAGACTGCGATTATAACCATCTAAAATTCTGTCTGAATAAGGACAAGGATGGGGAGAGAACAGGGACGAAGAAAGCCAGTGTGCATGTGCACATGCGTGTGCGCTGGGGACAGAACCCAGGGTCTGGAACCTGTTGGGCAAGCTCCACCACACAGCTGCAACCTGGCCCCAGGAAAACCAGTCTGGTCTGCTGTGATAGGAAACTTTTATTAGTGATGTCATATTTTTATGACAAAAATTTTAAATTCTACTTTAAAAGTTGTAAGATGAAAATGTAGAAGAATATATAGGAAAACAATGCTGTTGGCAGCCTCCTGTTTCACCCTTCAAAACAAATTATTAAAATTAAATGAATAAAAACTTACTCAAGAAACTAAAGGGAAATCAGCTGCAGACTTCAGGGCCCTGGCTTTTAGTAGGGGATGATACTGAGGTCTCCCGAGATCACTTGGTCTTTGCTAAACCAAGGCTGAATCCTCAGAAGCACCTCCTTCAGAGACAAACAACTCACCCTCACAGGTACCCCAGGGGGTAAGCTGCACCTGGCGACTGTGATGCCACCAAATAAGAACCCTGAACACCCGGTCCTCTGAGCACTGGGAAGAAGGCGAGGGCATAGCCGGACACCCTGCCGTGGGGCTTGGAACAGGGGCGTGGAAGGGCAGAGGTAGGCGGCAGGCCACTGGAGAGCAGGATGAGGAAATGTCCTTCGACCCACGAGGCCCCCTGTTTGAGGGGAGCGAGACCCAGTGCAACTTGAAAAGGAGGGTGCTAGAGCTCACGCGGCGTGGGCCTGGCTGGGCCACACAAGGGTACTTTGTTTCTTAGTCTATTTGGGCCCCAGATGGGGAAAAAAGATGGAAACTTCTCCATTAAGGCTTCTGTATGGGGAAGGAGAAGGCCCTTCACAGGGGGTTTGTGGGAGAGCTCATTTCAGGAGTGACTCCCAAGTGAAGACCATCATTCAGCTTAAGTGTAGAAGCATTTTCTATTTTGCAAAGTGCTTTTCAGCCACCCTGTGAGTTATTACTCACAACTGAGCTAAAACTCATCAAATGTGGTCTGACGTTGCAGGTGGAAAATTCCCCAAGTATGAAAGTCAAGAAACTCTCACACGCGTGAACAACTGTGGGCTCCATGTCTGAGGTCAGAAGTGACCAGAGGCACACGCCCTGTTCAGCCTAAGTCTTATGCATGTGTGCAGCAAGAGGGTGGCTTCTTCCCACTTTCTTTTTTCTTCTTTTAATTTTTTAAAAAATATTTTTTAGTGTTGATGAACTTTTATTTTATCCATTTATTTATATGCAGTGCTGAGCACTGAACCCAGTGCCTCAAAACATTTGAGGCAGGCACTCTACCACTCAGCCACAACCCCAGCCCCTCTTCTTTTAATTTAAAAAAAACTATTAACAAGTATTCTAGAAATTCTTTATTTTTTTCATTTTTAGTACTGGGGATTGAATACAGAGGTGCTGTACCACTGAAACACATCCCCAGCGCTTTCTTTTGAATTTTGAGAATTTCTTTTGAATTTTAAGTTGCTCAGGGCCTTGCTAAAATTGCTGAGGCTGGCCTTGAACTTACAATCCTCCTGCCTTAGCCTCCCATGTTGCTGGGATTACAGGTGTGTGCCACTGCGCCCAGCTCTGTTCCAGAAATTCTTCAGTCATCATTGTGACCGACATTTCAATGTCTTTCTTCTTTTATAAAGCAGGTGAGAGGGGCTGGAGCTATATAGCTCAGAGGCAGAACACTTGCCTAGCATGCGTGAGGCACTGGGTTTGATCCTCAGTACCTCATAAAAATAAACAAATAAAATAAAGACATTCTGTCCATCTACAACTTTAAAAAAAAATTTTAAAAACCAAACAAACAAACAAACAAACAAAAAAACAGGCGAGAACCCCGAGCGCTGTGGAAAGGGACAGCAGCCCTTTGGTGCACCTACACCAAGGGCCTGCGCTGTGGCCTGTGGCCTGAGCCTGTGGGGCTCACAGGGCCGAGGCACTCACTGGAAAGCTGTGTGTTGTCATATTATCCTTCCTGGTGCCTAATCTGTGCCAGTGATTTGGAAGAAGCTGTCCACACACAAGAAATGGGTGGGTATCCACTCAGAGGAGGGAGTCCTAGGATCCAGAACATTTTGCTTCCAGATTTTTTTTAAATTAATTAATCTATTTGACAGCAGAATGCATTTGACACACTTTACACAAATGGAGCACCACTTCTCCTTCCTCTGGCTGTCCACGTGCAGAGTCACTCCTCCAGTGTAATCGTGCATATAAACACAGTAATAATGTCTGTCTCCTTCTACTGTCCTTCCCAGCCCCACAACTCCACTCCTCTCCTCTCACTCCCCCCTACACAAACCAAAGTTCCTTCATTTTTCTCTATCCCCCCACCCCACTATGAATCAGCATCTGCTTATCAGAGAAAACATTCAGCTCTCGTTTTTGGGGGGATTGGCTTACTTCATTTAGCATGATATTCTCTAGTTCTATCCATTTACCTGCAAATGTTATCATTTCGTTCTTCTTTAAGGCTGAGTAATATTCCATTGTATATATGTACCACATTTTCTTTATCCATTCATCTGTTGAAGGCATTTAGGTTGGTTCCATAGTTTAGCTACCGTGAACTGAGCTGCTATAAACATTAATGTGGCTGAGTCACTACAGTAGGCTGATTTTAAGTCCTTTGGGTATAAACCAAGGAGTGGGATAGGTGGATCAAATGGTGGATCCATTCCAAGTTTTCTGAGGAATCTCCATATGGCTTTTCCTTAGTGGTTGCACCAATTTGCAGTACCACCAACTATGTAGCATACCTTTTCCCCCACACCCTCACCAACACTTATTATTGCTTGTATTCTTAACAGCTGCCATTCTGACTGGAGTGAGATGAAATCTTAGAGTAGTTTGATTTGCATGTCTCTAATTGCTAGAGATGATGAACATTTTTTCATATGTTTGTTGATGGATTGTATTTCCTCTTCTCTAAAAGTGTCTGTGTAGTTTCTTAGCTGAACTGATTGGGTTATTCAGTTTGTTGTTTTTGTGTGTGTGTGTGTTAAGTTTTTTGAGTTCTTTATATATCCTGGAGACTAGTGCTCTATCTGAGGTGTGTGTGGTAAAGATTTTTTCCCATTCTGTAGGCTCTCTCTTCACGTTACTGATTGTTTCCTTTGCTAAGAAGTTGCTTCTGGATTTCTACATGGCAATTTCCAACTACAGCAACAGATGTTCCACTGAAAAAATGTTATTCTGCTATAACTCTGCCATTAGCTTTTGTATTAAGCCCCAAACTAAGAATCCCAGGATGCAAGGTTTAACTGCATTTCACTTGCTAAAAGTTACAATGGTGAGTCTGGAATTCATTCAGGCCTTGGGTGGCCTCCAGGTTGAGCAGATCTTGGACCTGAGACCCAACCTGGCTCTTCACCTTCTAGAAAAGACTCATTTCTTCAGATCCAAGGTGGGCCTTTTCACGGGTGTCAACAAAGTAAACATTTGCTTGGTGCCTAGGTTCTGTGGTAAGCAATCAACTCTGCTTATGAGTCCTAAGGAGTCCTACGTTATACATTCCCTGGAAGATAAGGCGATCCCACGAACATACACTGAGGTTCCCCAACCTGGCTTTAAATGCGAAGGCAGAACAATGGAGTTTGGGGTGCTTCCAGTGAGTGAGCCGCTTGTCTCAGCACTTTCCTGTGCTCTTCATTACAATCTTTCGAAGCAGGTACTGCAGCTGCTCCTCAACGATGAGGGGAGGGAGTCATGTCACAATGAAGCACTGGACATCAACAATGATGCTCTACACCTCATCTCCCAGGCTACCTTCAGTGTGCCTAAAACATGCACATCAGCTGACGGTGGGTAAAATCGTCTAACAGTCTCTCTTACAATGAGATGTTGGCAATCTCGTGTGATTTACTGAATATTGCACTGAAGGTACACAGCAAGGGTTGCAATGGGTGTGCTTCTGCACCATTGTGAAGGTGACTATAGTAAGTTGGGGACCATCTGTATTATCCCAATTTTACAGATGAGCCTGTGGTCAGTTTCTCCGGGCAGAGCCAGGGTTTAACACAGGCAGATGGCCCCCAGCGTCCATGCTCTTAATTTGTCCCTCACAAATTATACATCAGGCACCATTCTAAGTGCCGGACCCAGATTGCAATGGACAGACCTCAAGGTCGCCCTGTGAGTGGAGCAGGAGAGGAGGGGCCTGTGCCTGCCAGGCCTGGGTGCGCATTCCCTCCTGCGCCTGCTGCACCCCGAGGACAGCATCTCTGTGCAGGAGGTAAACCAAGAGCTGGGAGAGGGGAGCTGACTGCCAGGGCAGCAGGTAGAGCACCTGTAGCCTCTGGGAAGACAACTTACCTTGTAAAGCTGATGAAAGCCAAATGCAATTCCCGCCATGATGATGGCCAACGCACCATAATCTCGCCACCGGGAACCTACAGGGCCTGATAGTGGGAGAAAGGAGGCAGAGTCAGGGGGGACACCCAGCATCCTGCCCTGGGGAGAGGCAAGTGTGTGACTCAGCAGATGGGCAAGTGGGGTACACAGCTGTGACTGTCAGAAGTAT